AAACAAAAACAAAGAAAGAAAGAAAAAAAAAAAAAAGAAAAGAAAAGAGAAAAAGGGCCGGTCCCAAGGACAGATCTATTCCAAGGATTCAAGACCTACCCTCTTCAGTGTTAGGGTGGTACCTTGTTCCTAGTTCATAGTTACAGGGAAATGCCAGATCCCAATTTGCCATCTATAAGAAATACTACCTACTTCTCCAAGACTGGGGAGGTGAAGTTGGCTTGGATCTTTGGCTGGAAATACATTCAGCTTCATCCCTCTGCCACCATTCTCTCGGAGACTTGACATTAAACACAAAGACGAGAATATCAGGTGCCTAGACCTTTATACCTCTGGTTTCCCTCTGCAGGCGTGGAGGCCAATGCCACTCAGAATGTCTACATTTCTCCAGAAATGGGATCAATGACCTTTGAAGACACCAACAATTTTTACCACCCCAATTTCCCTTTCAGTGGGAAGGTATGTTAAAACTTATCTCTGCCTAGACAAAAAAATGCATAACCATCCACTTTACCTCCTTCCTGCAGCCATATAGCTAACTTAGTGCTGTTCTGAGTACATAGCCACATAGCTAACTTAGTGCTGTTCTGAGTACATAGCCACATAGCTAACTTAGTGCTGTTCTGAGTACTTTACACATATTCGCTTTAATCTTTACTATATTGGTCCCATTTTACAGATAATGAGACAAGTAACAGAGGTTAAGTGATTTTTCCCAGGTTATACAGCTGATAAGTGGGAACTATGACCGAATCCAGGAAGCCCGCCTCTGGAGTATACACTCTTCACTCCCTCTGCTGTGCTGCCCTTAATCCCACAGGAGAAGCACTTTGAATACTAATGCAACCTTAGGGTTCTTTCTAATGCCAGAAGCTCATTTTCTAATGTCTGAATCTTTGTATTTAAGAGCTGCAGGGTTTCTAGAGAAATCATCCAGCCTGGTCTCCTGCCTCTAGGCAAGGTTAATATGAAACTTTCCTTGACAGCCATGTATAACTCTTTAAACAATTTTCATTAGAGATTTAAAAATTTCCAGCAGGGTGCGGTGACTCACGTCTGTCGTCCTAGGACTTTGGAAGGCTGAGGCGGGCAGATCACTTGAGGCCGGGAGTTCGAGGCCAGCCTGGCCAACATGGCGAAACCCCGTCTCTACTAAAAATACAAAAATTAGCCAGGCATGGTAGCACACACCTGTAATCCCAGCCTCTCAGGAGTCTGAGGCATGAAAATTGCTTGAACCCAGAGGCAGAGGCTGCAGCGAGCTAAGATCATGCCACTGTACTCCAGCCTGGGCAACAAAGCGAGACCATCTCAAAAAAATAAAGATAAATTAAAAATTAACTTTTATTTGGCTCACGCCTGTAATCCTAGCACTTTGGGAGGCCGATGCAGGTGGATCACGAGGTCAAGAGATCAAGACCATCCTGGCCAACATGATGAAACCCCATCTATACTAAAAATACAAAACTTAGCTGGGTGTAGTGGTGCATGTATCTTTCTTTACTTCTTGTGCAACTGGTCCACACAGTAATATTGCACATATAGAGATGCATTTATTTCTCAGTTATCTTTTCTCTAGACCAAGGGTGGATGCAAATTGTGTTTAGAGCCTAAGGAGTACACAATTTGGGAGGGTAGGGGATTTTCTTTAAGAAAAAGAACCAGTAGCGGTGGCGCGTGCCTGTAGTCCCAGCTACTCTGGAGGCTGAGGTGGGAGGATCGCTTGAGTCCAGGAGTTCTGGGCTGTAGTGCGCAGAATTTTTGAAGGAGCCTGTGCAAATGAAGCACCCTAAAGCTTCATTAGCCACTGGGCAACTCTAGCTGTGCTGCAGGCTGTTACTTCTGTTTGTTTTTCAGTTCCTCACAGATAAATGTGATTCAAGCATTTGAATCTTTTTCAGGATACTTTCCTGAAATGTATTCTTAGAAATTCTGTTATCACTTTTTTTTTTTTTTTTTTTAGAAGCCTACAGCACTCGGTATTCCCAGGTGGTCTCCCATCCAAGTACTAACCCGGCCCGACCCTGCTTAGCTTCCGAGATCAGACGAGATTGGGCGCATTCAGGGTGGTATGGCCATAGACCTGTTATCATTCTTAATGCCAAAAGCCTCAATGAGTTTGCACCAACCTAATATTTCACTTTGTCTCATACTCAAGCCTACTCCAAGCCTAATTCTAATTAACGACCTTCGTCCTTCAGATAAGCGTTAGGGGCCATGATGACTCCCTCCTCAAGAACCATCCAGTGTTTCTGGTGATTTATGGCACAAATGGCGTCTTCAACCAGACCCTGGTTACTGACAATGATGGCCTGGCTCCCTTCACACTGGGTACATCCAGTTGGAATGGGACGGACGTTTCTCTGGAGGTAAGCATGGATGGAGGACCATCTTCCTAGAAAGGAAGACTTCCCTGAAGGAAAACTTCAAAATTTCCCTGTTTCCTATCCTCCCCTTTGCTTGGAAATTCCATCTCTCTCTCAAGTTCTGCTCCCCAGTTGACAAAAAGTTCTCTTTAGATTCTTTCTGTTTTTAATATCAATCAAATAGTCCTTACTTAGATGAAAACTACTATTTCTATGAATTCATCTTTTAACTTACCCCCACCTGATCCTATCTATATGTGAAGTCAGAGTAGGGCAGAAAAAGTGACTCAGAATCAAGTCTTTTCCTTTCTCTTTCCCCTTCCCCACCCCTCCTCTCCCCTCATTGCTTAATAAAAACAGCAAACAAGATAACTCTAGATTCCAGATAACTTATAAGTATCAATTATCAACTGCCACAACAATGCTTCCTATCAAACAGCTAAAATCTTCAGTATCATGCAAGACAAAGCATTCATTGTTCCACATCTGGGACATTCAGTCAGGCAGCTCTGCTGATCTCAATGTCCAGGTCTGTTTGCAGATCGGCTGGCCATAAGCTGGTGCTGCACATGCCTCTCATGCAGGAGCCGGCTAGCCCAGGTATATTCTCATGGTAGTGATGAGGTGCTAGTGCAAAAGCTGGTGTTCAGGGCTTTTCCAAGCCACTATGCATTGCATACATTAACACCCCACTCGCAACAAATCACACGGTGGGCCCACAGTCAAACTAAGAGCGTACAGACTAAGACTATGTGCTAAAGGATGTTGATCTCGGAGGGGGTGGGGCGTGTGTGAAGAATTGGAGCCATTATTGAGATCATTCAACCACAGGTTTTAAGCAAACACATACTACTTGCCTTGTGGCTAATTCTACTATTTCTTTAGGCATCACTCAATTACTCAGAAATAATAATAATATTATGATTATGTATTAGTTATTATTATATAAATGGAGTCTCACTCTGTTGCCCAGGCTGGAGTATGGTGAAATAATCTTGGCTCACTGCAACCTCCACCTCCCAGGCTCAAGCGATTCTCTTGCCTCAGTCTCCTGAGTAGCTGGGATTACAGGCACCCACCACCATGCCTGGCTAATTTTTTTTTTT